TTAAATGTCAATTTGTACTTAATTATAATTTGAGTTTCCATAAAAATCACTTTCCATCTACAATCAAACACAGTCCTCAACTCATAAACATAAATGATTGTCAATAAATTACATGTTGTGTCAGTTGTGTCAAAACTTATGTTTTGTAATTTATTTTCACAATGTAAAGCAAGCAGGATCTACGGACTGTAATATCAGAATACAAAGCAGGAAAGCATTTTAGCATTTATTCCCTTCTTAAGCATTTATAATAAAACTGACCACTCTGTGTGATTATGATTGGAGTTTCCATAAAATCACTGCTGAACCTGCAGAGGTCACTTCAAACCCTCTCACAAAAGAAAGACATGTTGTTTGTGGACTAGAAAGCTGAAACGTGTGGAAATATGACAATTCTTTATGGAATTGCATCTTAAATCATACATTTTTGAAGCACAGCATCAAGTTGACAATAAACATGTCTTCTGAACAAAATCACCAAAATCAAGGAGCTGCTCCTCATTTGATGAATATAATATGAGTACTGATTAAAACTCTTTCCCCCTCTCCCTCAGTACACCTAGTACTGAAATATTGCACAGCTGCTGACATCATTTTACACCAGTTTGGCAAAAACTTGACGTCTGCAGGAAAATATGTAAAAAAAAAAAAAGAAGAAGAAGGTGTTACTCTTGGGTGCATAAATGAACAACCAAATAAAATAAAACAAACAACAATAAACACATAAAGATGTTTTGCAGTGGAAAGCATAGCTTGTGAGGCATGTCTCCAGGTGATGGTGCGGACAGAAGAAAAGAAAGGACCACCCTGCATGGCTCAGGCTTCACGTGAGCTGTCCGTGGTGCTGAAAGCCGGTAAACGCCCTAAGGCCCCCCCCCCCCCCCCCACACACACACACACACACACCCCGCACCCCTCTCACGACACTGTGCAAGTGTGGCTGGTGTGGAAAAGAACATTTCAAAGTGTACATTCAACAAGCATCTCTTCTGGGCTTTTTCGTGTAGGGGGAGTGGGGGGGGTGGGGGGGGGGGCCT